ACAGACTAATTAGGTATTTAGGCTTATTCCCATGATTGGGAGATCTTTTTTTAAGATCACTTCACTGGGAACTTGCCAGAAGTGCTGGATTTCCAATGTAGGGAATAATTTCTCCAGTAAAGAAAAGTAAACTCAAACCCTTAAAATTTACCTACTAAATATAGCTTCTAAAAGTACGGTTTCACAGACATAAGGAAACATGGCATAATTTCATGTTACCAAGCATCTTCTAAAGTGGTTTTAGAGAAAAGGCTTGCTTTGGTTCTGAATCACAAACTGCTCTTTTCTGTGTCTTAGTACCAAGCAGCTCATTCTTCTGCAATTAGTGCCAGGAAATAGTCTGGAGTAAGAAACTTTTACGTGGTGGTGCATCCAAACCAGACCCTTTGCAGTCTCTTGTGTCTCAGTTTGAGAAAAGGCCATGTCTAGCTGAGCCTGTAAATTAATATAAGCTGCAAATACCATTATTGCATGCCCTTGTTTATCAAACTGTACTCAATGCAAAGCCTTACTATCACACTGAAGTTCAGCTCTCCCATTTATCAGAACTGCTCTAGCCTGTTTTCATGCATCAGTAACATTTTTGGAGACATGAATTACAGGACAATGGAAAAGAAGCTTTTGTAAAGTAATTGTTTAACTTTAGTCTACTTTAGCTATTTCTCCTAGGACTGCATGTAGAAAGTCATAATGCTCTGCAAGAATCTTCCTGGTCTGGCTCACTGTGCAAACCTTTAGCTCACCAGCTATACCATAAAACAAGCATTCTGCTTTTCTCCAAGCTCCGTTTTGCAAATGTAGCTGCAATGATTTTACAATTCCCATTTCTGAGAGTGAATCCTAACTGCTTTCTAACATCTTGTTCACAGCCTAACAGTAGGTGAAGAAAAAGGAGTTACAGAAAATGAGGAAACAGACTGAAACCTAAAACAAACTAACAAGGAGAAACTCACAGGGCCACTCAGTGCTCTGTAGCACAGCAGAGCAGGCAGCACCAGCACCCTACCTCTGCCCCTTTACCCAGGCTGCAGCTGCCCCACATGCAGGCACTGAAATAAGCACTGTGCTCATTTATCAATGGAGCCAATACAATGGGAAAGACAAAGCATTTTTTTCAGAGAATCAAATAAAATGCTGCCAGAGCTTGCAACCTTCCATTTAAATAAGTAATTTTTTATTTCAGCCTCGTGATTCTTAGGATTTGGATAAACAGGGCTTTGCCTTTCCTCAGACCTTCAGGGTTAAAAAGGCTGAAATGGGGAGAAAAGAATAACAAGTGAACTTTACAAGGGTTGGGTTAGAGTGTTTAAGTCAGAAAAAGATACAAACTTTCCTTCTGTTTTACTATGAGAGGCAGAGACTGAAACCTAAGAAATAATCTATTTCTTAGACTGTCAGCTTTCTGTACTGTTACTCAATGATGAAAGCTGGAGTCAAAGTGATCTTCAATGGATAGTGCTCCTCAAACTCCCCAGGTGACCAGGATCAAACCTTCCTGCCCCAAAATCCTGAAATAATAATCCACTATGTGCATAGTTTGGAGGGGGGAAAAAGCCTCCTACCTAAGGGGTTTGCTACTGAGCAGGATGGCTGGGGAGAGCCAGGGTACATAGGCACAGAACTGTCCCCATCCCATCCCACATCATGTACCACTGCTGAAAACACAGATTTTAAGACACAGTTGTGTCTTAACAACTTATATTTTAAGACACAACCTCCTTCCTCAAAGAGGTGCCAACAGCAATTTGAGATATGTGAGTAAAAAGACATATTTAGAGAATGCTTCTCTGCCAGAGTACTTGACGCGTCATTTTCACCTCAGTTATCCATAATCATGCGTAGGGTTCCCTTTTCCTTATTCTAATGCGCTGAATAAAATGATCAGTTGGCACCAGGGAGGAGGGTCCATGATTCTGCTTTACATTACAAGTAGCCTCAAGTTTGCATAGAGGTAAGGCAATATGCTGGTGACTGGGATTTAGATTCCCTTTCACGGGGAAGTGATTTGTGAACAACCACATTTCAGAAAGCTCTGATGGTGCTTCAGACGAGCACTCTCCAGCAGAAAAATAAATTCTCCCTATAGTATCTGGAAGTGTAAAGCAAAAGCTTCAGATAAGAGGAAGCCCTTAATACTCAGCAGCATGAGCCCCCTCAGACCCCATCTTGCTTTCACCTAAGACTGTAATAGCACTACAAAAATACCTCAATAGTTCTTCTAGTGCAAGCTTTCAAAAGACCTGTGTTACCTCACAAGAAGTTACAAGGAACCAGAAGGAGCCAGTTCAGAATAATTAAACCTTAAAGTATTCTCAAGCACTGACAAAAGGCAAAGGACCTTCCGTAGCAACTGATCCCTTGAAGCTGCAAGCTTCAAGTGCACGGCAGCTGAGGAGCTGTGGTAATGGCACTGAAAACTTGGTTATCCACCAGCACACACACACGAGTTGTAACAGGGGACAAAGTGCAGTCTGAAGGCACAGCATTACAGCCTGAAGGCATCGCTGGGCTCCCACGACCACCATGCATCCTTCGCTCGGTCTTTGTGCAACTTCATTTTTTAGAAGAAATACGTAGCATTCCTGTAATGAAGTAGTGGCAGGCACATGAGAGAGCACTTCTGACACTGGAGGTAATAAAAATCCATCTCCTGAAAATTGGGAAGGCCTGACGGAAAGCGTTTCAGCAGAACGATGCCCCCTGACGCACCTCCCCAGCTCCCCCCTCCCAGCATCGCTGCTGACTGGGTGTCTGCTCTCATTATAATCATCAATTGTTCATTTCTTCGGAAATAAACCTTGTAATGATCAAACTTCTCATCAGACCTAATGCAGTATTTGACGGTGTTTGCCCTTCTAAAGATTTACGACATTTATTTATCGTTTAGCCAAAAGAACAAACAGATGTCTGAAGCTGGTTATTAGCAGCATCGACAGCAATTTAAGTCAATAATGCCCTAAATTGATCCATATGCCTCAGAGACCTGGCTCTGCTCAAATAGGTCCAGCTGAAACAGTTCCCAAAAAACGAGCTGTGACCTTGCTCACCACTATACCTTAAGGACATAAAGTCAATTACAACTACAACTGCAACTTACTTTGCAGTAGAGAGAAACCACCTGAAAGTTACATTAAAAAGGAGACTGCAAACCCAAGGAGGTGCAGAATTCTCCTAATTTTACAGTGCCAGTGGGAGAGAAACTGAGTAGAACAACAGACACAACCACCACCTTCCTGAAGGAAGATCTCTGAAATGTTATATTACTGACTCTAGTAGAACCAACAGTGGTTGGCAACTAGATGATCTTTAAGGTCTCTTCCAACCCAAACCATTCTGTGACTTTATGAACTGGTAGTAAAATGAACTGGTAGTAAAATCTCCGTATAATATATCAGTTGCAAGACTAGTTGCAAATGGACACTGCACAAAACCCAGTGCGACTGCGCAAGGTGATGCAGTACTTGTGCTGACAGAGCACCGTGCCCTCTCCAGCCTCATGTCACTGTAGGATCTCCATCACCAACCCTCTGGATCTTACACTGGATGCAAACACAGAACTGCAAGGAGAATGGACTCACAGGCAGGAAGCCAGGGTGGATCAGCAGCTACTTCCCACCCATACCCGTGGTGCAGTGCTTTCCATATGCAATTGGTGCAGCATGGCACAGGGAGCATTCTAACATGCTGCACAAAGCAATCTGAAGGGCTCCGAGGCCAGGGCTGTGCCCTGAGACTTACTATGACCTGAGTGCTATCAGCATTTGTTCCATCATTTGGGATTATGGATTGCTCTGAAGCATAAACTGTGCTGCCAATGTTGTGACTGTGGGTTAGCCAAAGATTTATTTGCAATAAACAGTACTTGTAAAAAGGCGAGGTTTAAGCAGGCAAGAGTGCGTCAGTCTGCTTCTTTAGGATTATGGAGAACAGCATGTTCTTCCCAAAACATCCAGTTATCCGTGCTTGTTTTGATGCTTCTGTCTATTGCTCCTCTTTCTTCTCTCTCTTTTTGAGGCAAAAATTAGGTATTTTTGAAAGACTCTCTTCTAAACAGGGACTCACATACCTCGCTATTTTCATACCACTTTTTTTTTTTGTCTCTGTATTACTTTCATGATCTATCCCATCTGTGTCCTAACTCTTCTCCTACAGCACCTTTAAATCACAGAACTATAGTCCATCCCTTATAAAACCTCTCCGCTAAAGATTTCATCTTATCCTCAAGATCAAGAACTCTCAACTAAGTATAACCTGTATTTAAATGAAAACATATGTACAGTGTACATAGTAATATAATTTCCCTCCATCTATTGTGCAACCCAAGCTTTTGTGCAAACAAAATCGATTACAGGAGAAGAGACAAAGACTTAGTGCAGAAGATCAGTGCCATCCAGTTTTCTTCCAGTTCTGCTGGCTTAGTCAGTTTAGGTGGAACACAATGTCTCATTCTGAAAAAAAAAAAACTGGCCTTTCTTCCAAAGTTTCCCTTGAATATTTGTGGATTAAGGTGCTGGGAAACCTTTCCCCCATCTGGTCAGTTGGTGTCCATCCACAGGGCTTGAAATAAGAGCATATAAGGTGGAGGATAGGAATGCAGGAGTAGGACTAAAAAGACAGCCATGTTTCTTGGGTAATTACACAAGATCCATGATCAAGTGGTACAAAAGCTCCTATCCTATATCTTGTTCTGATCCTTACTGTAAGCATCACTGTCATGCAGAAAACTACACACATATGGTAGCATTAACCACTGCTTTAATAGAGGAGGTGCCCTGTGAGAACAAACCTTAGTGAAAGAACCCAGTGAAGCATTTCATTTTTATCTTCCTCCTGCTCATAGTTCCTAAATTCAACAATATAATCCGTACCACAGAGAGTTTAATTAATTTGGCAAGCTCAGCATCTAACAGAGACTGCAACTCCAAAGGGAAGACGAAGAGAAACCTGCTTCCCAAGGAAATCCTAAGCCATTCAACAGCAAAGTTCAGAAATGATCTTACTTTTGACAGTTGCTGTTCGAGTGCAGTTGTAGAGGATGGCCAACTCTCCAAACACCTTGCCTGGTCCCATGGTGCACAGCTTCACTCCTTCTTTTGTCACTTCAACCTTCCCATCTGTGTGAAGAGAAACAAAAAAAAACAAAACAAAAGGCTATTTAAAAGGGGAAAATTTCCTTCAGACAAAGAAAACACTATGAAGAGCAGCATGTAACCTCAGAAAAGCTGTAAAAGCCTTGCATATATAACCTTTCAACGTTTGAGTTTTCTTGGTAGAGCATCTGTTGGGAAACAGTAGCATACTAAGCTCACTGTCAACTTTGCTTCATGTATTATACTTCAGGTGAAATTTTCTTTGTTTCTTCTTTAATTAAAAAGGAAAAAGGTTTAGGTCTGCAACACCACAGATGAAAACCATGGAGCAATTTTGCTCATTTTCACCAAGCAACTAATCCCCGAGCACACTCATCCGTGAATAACACAGCTATTACCAAAAGGAAAATTACTTTGACCCATGGCTATTATTTAATTCACATCCTACAGAGCCTTTTGTTTGTGTGCATTTCACCCTAGGACAGCAACTCTGTTCTGTCTGCTTGCCAACCCTGCCAAGAGGAGACATGCGAGGGGGATTTAAAAGCAAAAGGTGAATGGAAAGAAAGCAGCTCAGGACCAGCTTGTGGTTTGTTTGATCCAGAACCACCTACATTTATATGTTGGACATCAAACATGGCCTGGAATGCTTCAAAAACACATGTGGATTTTTCTGCCACGGCTCTACAATGAACATCAGCAAAGACAAGGAGGTACCTCACTTCCAGCTCACAAAGCCGTTTTCAGAGAAAAGGAAAAGAAATCTGAGCAGTAGGACACAAATAACACCACTACTCAAAAGCATTCTGAGATCTGCCCCATTGCTGCAACCGTGCTCCCAAAGCAAGCCATGTGGATCATCCACTTTGGGTCAAAAGCATATATTCCCCCATGCACCATTCATTTTCCTAAAAAGTCTTATTTATAAAAAACACATTGTTTGCTCACTCTGGTGCATGGCCATAAGTCAACGCTTCTTCACACATGGACGACCCCTTAGGACAAAAAGGAAGAGGAGACAAAAATCCCACGGAGCAGAGATGAAGGCTGGGAAGGATTGCCCTGGGGCTGGAAAGAGCTGCTGGCAGGGAGACACAGAAGTGTTATCCGAGCCTCCATCGGCACATGGCCTGCTTCCCACATCATGCCCAGGTATCACAGCAGACTTTGAGAATCAAGATGAAGGCAAAAATACTGCCCACAGTGTTTGAATGCAGTCTTTACGGTCCTTCACAGCATCAACCATTTCTCTTGGTACACGAGAAGCATAATGGTGATGAAATTGAACAACTAACTTTATAAGTATGGAGACTTCTCACCAAAATATTTGGATGCAATCAAGAATACGTATGACAATGCCCTACAAAACTAAAGCTAAAGCAAACTAGTTTTACTTACAGAAGAAGGGATCAAAAAGGCTGAAGTTATTTGACTTGTGAATGGTTATCCTATCTTTGAGTTTTAAGGCACAGCTACAGAGCTGAGCAGAAAACCAGAGATGCTCAAATTCCACGTTGCTTCAGTCTCATGGCTAACTCACAAAGAGAAAGACCACAGTTCATGTTTCCCATTCCCCAGAGGTGGTTTAGGGTTTGGTTGTCAGCAAAAAAAAAAAAAAAGCAAGACTTTCTGTTGATGAATTCCATAAGGATCCTCTACACGAGAACCGTTCAACTTTGGAGGCATTCAACAACAAACACCAAAACTTCGCTAGCTTAAGAAACAAGGATTTTAGATGCTCATTTAACATTTGCCTTCAGGCTAGTTTTATTCCTCATAAGAAGGAATTTTTTAAGCAATTGAAAGGCGAAAACATTGGACATTTGACACGCCTGCAAGTGAACATGGCTGCCTCTCCTTCAGTATGCTACAGGACAAATGTGCTGCCTAATTACAATTGATTGCACCAGAGCAAGTGTCCCATTCTCCTGCTGTGCAATAAAGCAATCTGGAACATGAAGCACCTGACAATAAACCCGACAGAGCATGAGCCAAAGTCACCTCCCTTGAAAACACAGTGTCTGACAGCCCTAAAGAGAAGGGATTTCACCCTTTTGCTGTTCCTAGCTGGCAGCCTATGCAGGGCAGCTTCCATGCAGGGAATAAATTGCTTGCTTTGATACATTAACCAGATGCAGAAGCCAAAAGAAATGCAAAGCAATACAGATCATTTCATAGAGATTAACAGAAATGTGCATCTTCCTTTGACATTTCCAGAAGGCAAATACTGAATATAATACAGGTGATACTCATGGCAAGAAGAAACCATCCAAAAATGCCATGCTTCTGCCAAAGCACTGAGTGCTACTGAATTCAGTATTGATATTTCAGTTACAGCACAGCTGCATGTGCAGCCTGCATTCAAACCATATGTTTTTCTATCAGCCTTAACAAAGTATTCAATATCAATGGAGGACACACAGGTATTTTTAATGTAGACAGAATATAAAGTAAAATAAAAGTTTCACATCTTCACTACTTGCCCAGAGTAAAGGCTGGCAGCTGCATTTTGGTGACTAAACCCTGGGTTTTCCCCAATTTCCTACTCTTCCATATTCCCATGAGGTCAAAACATGCACCTCAAACGGTGCCCCCAATTTGGGTTTCTCACAAGTGTGACACGGGACCAGCATGAGGGCAACTCCAGAGCCACCTGCCTGCTTCCAGCAGAAAGCTACCAAGAAGTCAGACAAATTGGGAATAGTTCAAAACACTGTGCTTCCAGCAGATGCTCTGACGTCCCAGCTGCACAGAAGGCTCCCAGCTTCTTTTTCAGCCTTCTTTTGCCACCCTTGGGCAAAACCAACCACTTGAGCATCCCAAAATCCCACACACTTCCCTGTGCAGTGATAAGCAGAGCTCCCAGGCTGCTCTGCTTTGATGAAGACACATGGTTCTTCATCACGTTGAGTCCATCCAATAAAACACTAAATAGCACCTCTGTCTCAACTGCATCCGTGCTGCAACAAATCGAACTACAAGCCAAACTGCACTCATGTGACTCTCTCAGTTAGTAAGGTTATTTTTAATCCTAATAATTAAATGGTCATTTTCTCCTTCCGGGTGCAGAGAAAAACAGATTAAGATGACTTGAAGAATTTGTCAGGCTGTATGTAATTCATATAATGGGCAAACTTCTTGTGCTGCTCTCTCCATTTCTATTGCTGCTTCTTTCTCCTCCTGGGCAATAAAGGAGTCATTCGAAAAGACCAATGCTTTCCCTTACTTTCAGTTGTGTGTCTTACCAATGCTTTTGAGACACTGATGGGACTTAATAGTTTTATAATTTTTCAAGTGATTGGTGTCAGTTTAGATCCTGGACCCTAAAAAACCCTGAACAAATGGCCAAAACTCCTGGTAGGACTCTGATTTTTCCCTGCAGTTACAAGAAAGGACTACAAACAAATACAGCATATTGCAGAAATCAGGAAAATAATACAGCAAGTCTCAGTGTGAGCTCAGTAACAGGCAAATGGGCAGCAGGATACAGATTTGGGCACTAAATGATTAAAAAAAAAAAAAAAAAAGCAGGATGTAGAGGGAATTCCCACTTGATGCTGTGCAGAATTCATGAGTGGCTCCTTACTGCTTTGTTGCATCCATGCTGGACCATTACTGAAGGCAGAGCAGTAATTATTGCTAGTTAGTTTTCTTTAGAAACTAAAGAAAACTAGACTGTGCAGTGATACCAAAAATCCGCAGATTTTCCTGAACACCAATGAATATATTTCAAACGCCAAGCCAGTGATGAGGCAGGAGTTACTGCGTTATATAGCAACGTTTCCCACTTCGAAGCGCCCAACAGGCAAGAATCAATTTAGAATTTAATTTACTTCAGCAATACCTGCAAAGAAAATGATACATTCACAGGTGGGGGAAAGAGGAGGAATGAAAGACAAGAGGTTAAAATCATGACCAAATGGAAGACAAGGGGCTACAGCCCACCAAATATCAGAGAAGGGGCTAAAGCCACCACCTGTCACCATCCAGACCCCCAGCAGCACCCCAGCCCTTGCAAGCACTGGTATGCTTCTTCTTTTAGCCAAATTTGGGTAAGTTTTGCAGAAGAACTGCAATAGGTAGAGAGAGAAGACAACAAAAAGTACATTTTGCCAAATTTGAAGTCACGTTCCCGAACATGGCAACAATGCAAGTTGTAGTGACAATGTTTTGAATATGGAGAAAAATGGAGTTATTCTTTAGATGCCTTCTTGGAAAAGATTAGACAACTTTGGATGACTTTTTCCAGAATTATTTCATTTTAAGCTGGCATCTGCAACAGCAGCTTAAATCTCAACCTCTGAGTTCTGCAAGTGCTGTATCCTAAACGATACACAACTGATTTTCAGTTTTTGCTGTTAAGAAAAGGGCTGGGGGCAAAGAATTAATATGTGACATCTCAGAAGACCAGAGAAGCATATAGCAGCAATACCCCTTGGTTTTAAATCCAGACCTACTCCAGAGAAAGGATGAGAAGAAGTTGAGAGGAGCTGGGGAAAGCTGCAAACCCAAGATGAGAGGAAGGCATAACAGCAAAGCCAAGCACCAGAAGGTCGAAGAAGCCCCAGCAAAGCACAGCTGCACAAGGGATGCCAGTAATTTGAATTAGAGGGGTGACATGGCAGGTTCATGGCAGAGCCTGGAGGACCCAGCCCACGTAAAGATGCACATCCTCAAATACCGCTCAGAATAGTTAGAAATGTACACTGGTGAGACGTGCATCCTCTCTTACCAACCTTAAGTCCCCACATCCTCACTGTTGGGATACAGTCATGCAGGGTGTGGATCAGTCGCTTCAAGAATCCCTTCTGTCCTCAGTATCTTTTGTCCCTTAATTACTTCTGACAGTTTTAGACTAAAGGTGTATATGTGCAGTTTCACAGCTTGCATAGGCAAGCACTGCATAATGAATTTGTTTGCAATGAAACTATGAGACTGCTTTAAAATCTACTGAATGCAGAAAAAAGCCGCTAGAGAAGCCTCTCCCAAATAGAGAGGGATTACGAGGACTCAGAAGACAGAGA